ATATTCGGGCTAATGAAGGGGGAGTTGAGGAATCGAGCGGCTGGCGACATGCTGCGACAAGAGGAACCTTGTGTCGGAGGGTGCAGCGACCAGATTAAGGGGTGTGAATAAACACGATTCACAACTTTTTCAACAAAAAAAAAACGAAAGACATCACGGAACTAAAAAAATAGGCCCGACCAGAGTGAGGAAGTCTTGACAACATTGAAACCCGGACCGCTTGGAATGCAAGTGATGCGACTAAAAGCAGTGGCTTCAATAAAATTAACAAGAGCTACCGACAAAGCACAGAGGAACACGTATGACGGATCCACGAGGAACCATTAAACGATGGGTGTTTTGGGGGAAAGATATGAAAATGACAAGCAAGAAATAAAAAGTATTTGGTGAGTTCAAGTAGTTATCAGTGTGTGTAAGAGCATAAAGTCAACTAGTGGAGTCAAGCATTCCAACCCGTTTGTAGGTACAAACGTATGGTTACCTTAGAAGGCGCCATCAACACAGACTTTTCGCTCAGGTGCAAATAAGGATAATTATTGGTGGATCTGTGCTGGGCACTTAACGTCATACATGGAGGAAAACGGAGCACGTCGCAACAATTTTCGTGGGAACCTTTTGTTTTGCCCAGCCTACTTATTGTGAAATTTCACAAGTAGACCAAAACCTATCGCAAACATTGAACACAAATGTACTCCGTAATACTACATCACAGCAGATAACCTGGAGAGGTATTACATCAACCCACAGCAGCATAACGTTATCACACATTTTGATAACCGGCAATTCCCCCAAAAAGGGTCATTCCGAAGACGAGAAATCAAGGTGGGTGCTTTCGTTCCTCATTCGATGAAAGCAAATTCATTAGTGACCGAAGAGCCCAGCTTGCGATCTTAAACTTAATTGTTCTTCTAACTCACGCTAAGTTGCCACCGATGGATGTGAATCGGCCCGAAACGCCGACATGTCTTCGAAACCAAAAATCCCGAAATACTTTCGAGCGTTTCTACCTTATGATACACCACATTTTCGCAATTGCAACCCCATCACGTTTAAATACAAACAGTAAAGCCTCATGTTTACGTATTTTAAAGCTTCATCAGATGGTTCGAAAATAAGAAATAAATATTTCGACATTCGTAACCGCAAATCCAAACGGTCTTCGAAACAATTTTTAATTCAGTTTATAAGAAACATAAATGATCGGTTCGTGAAGCGAAAAAGTGAGTTTTACATAAAACAGAAGACGATAACCAATGAGCACAATTAGCGAAAGTCAGTACAACATATCCAGCGCTGAAAAGGTTAGAACGATAATTAGAAGACTAAAACCATAAGGGTGAGGAAGGAAAATCAAAAATATGACATTTACTTTTTGTGAAAAATAAATCAAAATAAAGTCGAAAAGCATCTTAACGACATATAACGGAAGGAGAACTTGCCCTGATGCGAGCATATCCGTGCGGGGATTCCAGGCGCATATGAATACTTCGGAGGTGTGGCCTCGAAGGACGGTGATTCGGTCTTGAGGAATTAAACCGGGATCAGGGGATCTAGCCGAGGCACTGGGGGGCCCACCGGTCGATGGTCCGATGGGCGGTTGATGGGAGATTCTATCCAAGTCCATAGCAGCAAGGACACCACCACCTGCATCTCCACTTCCACGGTAGTGATTGGCTTCATTAAAGAATGATAAAATAAATTTCAGATGCCCTGTGGCAGACGTCTGAGTGTTTATGAGTATAACTACAGCCTAATCGCAAAAACAGGGCCGTGCAATGGAAAGCAAAAACATCTTAATAGAAAATAACCCACCAAAACTCCTAATACCGAAAAAAGCCATGGTGACTCCAAGGGAAGACAACACGACTTGGGATAACAAAAATTTAGGATGACCATGTGCGTGGGAGAATACCAGCTAAATGGTTCATATGTAAAAATAGAAGATTAATTGACATGTCTCCAAATAGAAGCGGCTAATTTTGAGAATATCCGAACAATGACAAACTAGATTCAACAGCGGAAACTGAATAGAAGTGTTAACATACCGTGACCGTTGTCACCATTCGTTTGCATTGAGGGAAGAAGAACAGAATTGGAGACAGGGAGGCCGGAAATGGCATCCTGGGATGCGACAAGACTTTTATTTGGCAAGCGCAAATGTCCGGTGTTAGTAGGACTGCCTCCGGCATTGAATCCACCGGTCGATGGTGGAGAAACTGACGTGACAGTGGATGCCTGAGGCATGTGCTGTTGGGGATGTTGAGACACTGCTGCGGAGGAAAGATTGTTAGGCATGAGGACGCCAGGGTTCATGCAATGTTGGCCGCCACTGTCGCTATCCATCGGGGTTGGTGTATTTACAGAATCAGAAGTTGTGGGGGGAGGGAGATGAGAATTATACGCTTCAGAACCAGCCGACGTGGACATGGAATTCGTAGCGCTGTTGTATTGCTGTTGCTGACTTGTTGAAGTGTTTGAGGCAGCCGGCCCTGCAGAGTGATGTTGCTGTTGCTGCTTCAATGAACTTTTACGCTTCTCAATCACATCAGGAACAACAGCGTCAATAAGGGAAAGAGACTCGACAACGCGTTCACTTCCATCCTCGCCAATGCTAATTTCTGCCTCCGTGTATTGTAAGCCCTTCTGTATTAAACTCAACAAAGAACCTGGGGGGACAAGAGAGCCGTCAACGTTTGATTGACTAATTTCACTTTCTAGTCCAAATAAGTAGGCGGAGTGACAATAGCCTGCCTCTTGCAGGTACCGATAAATGAGGAAGTTTACCTCATCAGACGTAAAGCTCATTCCCCCTCAATTGTATTCCTTATTTGAAAGATACACAATTCTAAAATTGAAAAAAATTATAACCGAAATACAGGAATGGAACAAAAAATTTAAAAAAAAGACAAATTAGTAGTCTGTTACCGCTAAAAGCTGATTTAGTGCAGATCATTCGATTATTCAACGACTTAGTGGTGCACATAAAAAACGGGATTTAGAAGAAAAATACTACCAGCCTAGAAACATATGGAAAGTTCCCTATGAAGCAAGGCAATGGTTAAGGTGAAATGTCTGTAATAGTCAAGAAAAAAGATGTTGTCAAGGGACATATCTAACTAGTCAAGACAGTAAAAATCATGACATTTGGCGATTAAAAGAGTAATTTGGCAAATAAATATGATACAGTAACACTGGCAATTGTCCAAGTGTTTCATAACACCAACACCTATCCAAAATACAATAAGAATCTAAATATGAGGATTAGAAAGTAAAATTTGGCAAGCAATGTCGATTAAAAGCAAGAATCCACTGTAAGAATCAAAAAAAAACACAAGACAGCTGTGGAAAATAATACATTGACAACGCTAAGAGTTGTCCTTCACAAAATGTTGCAAATCGAATAAAGCACATCAAAAAATCATAGCAAACAAAATTCACAAAAAACCAAAATAACAAAAATTACTCAACCTGTCATCTAACACGAACTAGTTAATCCTACACACTGACAATTAAAACAAGACATTCAAAATCATCCTCAGCAATAATTAAAAGAAATCCTAGTTTCTTGTTAAAGACATTTTTAATGGCACAAAACTGATCATAACTAACACTTAAGCCTAAGCATATATGCGATTTGCATTAAAAAAATAATTTAAAAAAATCATGATCCAAAAATTTTATATATTTTGCGAAAGCAGACAGTTTGAAAATTAATCACACCAAACTTTCAAGCAAAGCAATTGTAATCAATAAAAAAATTCCATTTTGAAGTTCAATTTTCTTGTGTGAAGTGCAGTTCATTCAATCCTAAATGACACTTACCTAGGGAGCTTAACGGGAACACAGATAGGATGTTATTGCATTAAATTTTATTTAAATGGTTTTTGTGGTGCATTTAGTAGAAATTTGCAAGCAAAAACCTAAAGGTCCTACGTCTTCAGTCCCCATTTTTCAGTATTCATTAAAACAATTAACACTAACATTATTATGGTTAATCTAAATGACCTAGTAAAGAAACCTTCGAAAATTTCTTAATATTTTGGTGATTCCTAATGCGCGTGTGCTGATGTACATTATTTCAAAATATGAATATTATCGCTGTCGTTGCCATAAAGTTGTGACTAAATATTTTTAACAGGCTGCAGATTTCCATCGCAGACTTGCAGTCTGTCTCATAACAAAAAATTTTTGGTTTTTTTAAATTTAGCACGATTTATTTGCAGACCGACAGCAAGTAAGTGAGACTCCGAGCAGTGCTGGTTGAATTCCTTTATCAGAATACTTGAAAAATTCATAGAACTAAGCAACTTTTGACTTGCAATTAGCCACTGGAAACTTAAATTTATAATAGCACAAATTGTTGATTAAAAAGGCCTGAATTATTTCCTTGAAGCCATATAGAACCATGCAAGTAATAAATGTCTTTAAAATTTTGAAAACACTTACCTAATTTTAAAGTACTGTTAGGCTGTCCAGAATGTTTAACTGATTATTTGTGTCATGTAGAATATACTTTACAGTGATCAGTAAAGTCACTCCGCACTTTGGAATCACATATGTTGCATAATTTAGGCAAAAAATGGCATTCTGCAAGAATAGGTAGTGAGTCAATTGACAAATTAAGAATACGAACTCGGTTAATTTTTTAGAAAAACAAACTGAGTTTGCCAAACAATCAACTTAATACAGCTAAAATACCAGCAGTATATCTTCTACTTATAGGTAAGTTGTCTGCTGTCAATTCTTACCGCTCTCTTATGCAGAATCAACAGTATATTTCATCCAACTCAAACTCAAAATTTTTTATTTGTGTAGATTTCTTCGTGTCTCTGCACTCATTAATTGTTAGACACATTGCTTTTCACATAACTCATTTCTCTATTATCACACAAAATTTTTGGGTTAAAATTTAGAAAACACATTACAGCAGTAGATTACCAGTGATTGGTCTTTGAGGGGTTTTTATCCATTTGCCCATTTAGCCAAATATTATCTGTCGGAAAAAAAGCCATGTGAGCAGTTTTTTATTGCCACATCAAAACACATTTCGATCTACCGAAATTAAATATCCTTGTTCAATTCTTTCTACTTTATTGCAGCCTACAAATAAAGTCTTTCGCAAACCCAGAAAAATTGAACATAATTCAATTCTATCAGCAATTTGTACTAATGAGGCTTAAAGAAAATAGTCTTGCTTGTTTTTTTAAGGTAGTAGTTTGAAGAAATTACACATTAAGGGATAATCAAAGCTTAATTTATTACATACCTTGTGGCAACGATATCTCAGCCATCATGTACCATTCTATCGATGTTGGCACGGTCAAATGTATAAAATAGTTTACAATGGCTAAGACAATGTTCCCACCAAAACGTGATGAATAGTCATAAATTAACCAATGATTGATTAATTTGGTAGACATTCTCGATGGTTTATTGAAACAAATGTCTTTCGTGAAATGTAGCATTAATATTTTAATGATGGAAATCCTTAAATAAATGGGCAGACGGTTTGCTTTGATTGGATTTATATGCATCCTAAGAATTTTTTTGGAATAGAAGTATGGGTCACTTCTATGAACAAGTTATATTTAAGAGGCATTGAGTCATTCGCATAGTCCAACAGAACGATGATGACAACGTCATAAACAATATGTTAATTTATGAACCTTGAAAAAATGTAATCTAATGTAACGCACACAGCAATAGTCACGTTGCGAAAAGGTTATTACCTTATTAGATGCATGCTAGCAAAATGCTCTTCAAATTATAACGGTCTGGTTAGGAACATCTATAAAAAGTAAAACAACGAAGCAAACAGTTATACATGACAAGTGTGGAAAAATGGCTACAAAGTTCCTCATGACATCAAGAAAGAAGTTAAAAATGTAGACAATATCTAGCAACTGGCCAATGTCAAAGTCACTTTTCAGGACATCGGTGTGAGCACTGCCCCTAAAATCAGAAGATCAGCTTAAATAGTTGTTTTGATAATTCTTTTACAAGCTTGAGACAACTTTTGCTCGCATAAAAATAATAGTAGCAATTATAGTATGTGGCAATACTTAGATATTTCTAACCTAATTTATGCTTAAATATTTTTTAACGCAATGCGTTAATTACCGTCTACCATGAATACCAAAGCGTAAGTGGATACCATAGCACATTTCTTGAATGTCCGTTTCTCGGTGACAATTATATGGAAACATTCCCCTTTACTCAGACTGCGTTTCTTGTCATTCAGTTATCATGACATATACATAAGTACATTCAAAACTCATCGGATATAAACTATCACTGACCTTGTTCATTGTTTGCACATTTTAAATATGCATTATAATGTCATCATGCTGGATTCACTCTAAAAACAGTGAAATTTTGGAAGATGGCGGGCAGGAAACGCGGCCAGTATTACGCTGCTTGTTATTAAAATATTATTCAATTATTTTAACAATGTTATTCTTATGCCTCTAAAACCAGTCACCAAAAAAAAAAACAAAATCGTAAAGCTAAAAAAGGGTTGCACGGGAAAAGGAAATCGGGCCTGTCCGAGATGCATAGCTTCTCATGTAATTCACAAGAGCATAATGTAACATTTCCATACCTGCAAAAGACCTTCATGACTACGAGTGAATGTAAAATTTTGAATTTCGTCTTAATCAGGTTAACAATGTGTTTTATCTATAAGTGTTAGATATAGGCTAATCTATAGCAGGTGGTTCACTCGAAATCAGGACACCTAATTCCGTCAACGAAGGGCTGACTACATGCTTTGAATTCGCCCTTAATAAGTGGCATTTCTAATGCATTGGATGAAAAAGTAATTCATGGTTGGCTACCAAAATACAGGTGAAAATTTTACTGACTTAAATGGCTCAATCGGTACATTTCTTTTAAATACGTTAAGTTTTGAAAATGTTTATAACTTAAGGCTCAAAAATCACTGTTACTAACAAACCACCTCTCATAATACCTATCCTATAATGAAAAATGAAAATATTTGAAATACATTTTTGATGCTGTTAAGGAAGTCGCTTAAGGGAATGTGTTTTGTGACAGCCTTTTATGTGCTCAATTAGTTTCAATCTTTAGTGGGCCAATGCATTTAAACTACTGTAACGTCTATCATTTAGGTATGATGCAGTGCTTTCAATTAATTATGACCGAAAAAAAGTTAAAAATTTAATTATTAACTGTGACCCTGAAAATTATTTTAACCTACATCTGCTCGATGAATGATTTCTATAGTTACTTCGGCGTCTGTCAAGTTATTTGAAAATGAGGGGCACGGAAGGTCGGTAAGTTGTGCAGCGTAGCTTTTATGACTTTCAACTTTTCTAGGTACCAAAAACGAGCCAATTATGACATAATGGAACAGGAAACCAAAAAATTAGAGTCAATGCTTGAGAAATTTAAAGTTTCAGCTGTTCGTCATAAAGAAATGATGTAAAAACTATTAAAACATTTATGAGATTTTAGCAAGGATATCCATTGGGAATCAAGTAAATCCAAAATTTACCGCAATGTACATCAACCGACTTCGATTCCAGATGTAACTACATGTTTCATTATATTTCCTTAGATAAAAAAGTTTTCGAAAATCAAAATACTGTCTGCTCGTTCTGACGGTAAATACTGAGTTGCACCATAAGCTGGTAGAATCTTTATGCAATGGAAAACAAACAGCCAAAAACGTTGTGAAAATCCTAACACCCCCTAAGGAGGTCTGTGGGCAATGTGAGGCTGTTGCGCCAGCCGTGGTATTCGTTGTTTATTTTAATAGCCTTAGATTTGCCAAGAATGTGGGG